TATGTGTGCCCTCGAACTCCTGAATTGCTTTGGGGTACTGTTATGATTAGAATTTCAGAAAGTAGATTCTGATACGGCCTAGCTGTGGCCTGCAGTTTCCTTGAGGCTGGCTGGGTTGAATGGAAGTCAGAACTTGCTTGAAGAGGCTGTCTCTTTGGTTTGCTGTCAGCAGGGTCTGGTTTCTGGGGATAGTAAGCCATTCTTGCCATGTTCCTTTTGTCAGCTTGTGGGGAGACAGGCAGATCAAAGAAAGGCCTGTTGTTTGATACACAAAGGATCAAAGCCCCTCCTCTAGAGGGTCCCAGGGCCTGGGTTGGTCCCTACCAGCACCATGGTACAGAGTGGCTGTGTTCCCACTTGGCCCAGCATACTTGAGAAGTCTCTGGGCTTCACAGCTTGGAAGCTGGAAACTCTAGCAGGCAGGCAGGGCCGCAGACCTGGCAGGGGAATTGGACATCATTACAAATTGGGTCATGGAATTCCCATAATTCTAGATGACTAAGCGAGGTGTCAAGGGTCCTTCAGGGTCCAGTGCCTTAGTATGTGTCAAAGGCCACTCATCAGTGGGCCGGTCCAGCCTGGCAGTGAAGCCCTTTTGTACAGTTCATGTGACACACGGATGAGGCTCAGTGAGAGAGGTGAGAATGGAAAGGGCATGGTGCTGGCAGGCCGTCCACAGCCAGGAGCATGGAGGATGGAGGTGGTGTGAGCAGCTAAGGATTGGCACCCCTCTTCTTTTCCGAGCCACTCTCCACATGCTCTCTGCAAGGTGTGCCATGTGACTGCCCTCTGCTGAGCCCAGGCAGTGCCCCCGAACCTCGGAGCCACTGTGCTCCTCTGGAGAGAACGCAGCATCCTTTCTCGTGGTGGACATAGGGCTGGCTCTCACATTAAGACCCCCTGTTGCACCCTGAGCGGTGCTATGTACTGTCTCCTAGTGTTTCCAGCGGGGCTGATCCTTGGAGGGCCACAATGGTTAACACAGTTGATCCTGAGTCTCTCACTCGCTGACTTCCCTCACTTCCACTTCAGCACTGCTTTGGGGGGGTCACTTGTTAAATAAAACTGTTCATATTTACAGAAAGAAAAACTGTTGCTGACAGCTTCTCAGAGCAGCCCTCTCTAACTCAGGTTTTAAAAATAACTCTTCCTTGGAGGCTCATTCCATTCCTTTTCCCACCCTGCTTTATTCTTCTTGTGAAGTTACATCACGTTCCATCTGTCATTAATACAGTTGTTCCCATTATCCACTTCGATATACTTCAAGACCCCTACTGAATGCCTACAGTCAGACTATATGAAACTCTAGACATACCGTTTCTCTCTCTCTCTCTCTCTCACACACACATATACACATTATGACAAACTTTGACCTTTTCACATAAAGACACACTTTAAAGGGCTTATATTTGACATCTCCAAATTGCCAGCATCAGTATTCTTTAGAGTCATAAATAAGTAAAGGGCTGTGTGAGCAGCCGGTCTGATAGGTAAATGTCACTAAGTTTTGTCCCAGTGGTAGCGTGTAGTTGGTAGGGACACCTTGGACAAAGCAGTTTGTGCTCCAGGCAGGATGCTTTGAATGGTGCCCCTCTCCTCAGAGTGTCGTACGGTCTAAAACCAGAAATTGTTCTTACTCTTTTCAGTTCATCCATTTAGATTAGGTTTTGTTCATAGTCTTTTTTTTTTCCTCTCCCCGGACTTAAGTTCTGTTTTCTAAACTACTGTATCTCCTAGTGTTTTATGGTCTCAGGGCCCAGCACCTCGTGTAGACAGTAAGCGTAGGTGTAAATGAAAAAAAAAATGAATGGTATGGATTGGTTAGTGGTGGACAGAAGCATGGCATTGTGGGTGCAAATGGTGGGAGGAAACCTTTGGTGACAGTCTGCCTTTGAACCTTATAAAAACAAGCTGCATCAGCCGGGAAGAGCAGCTTGTGGCTGTGTTGGAGGAGATACCTGACATGTCAGAATAGTCTCATGAGTCATGGGTCATCCTCTGCCGTGGGGGCCTCCCCGTCGAAGGAACATCATTTTCCACTTCCCTTTCATCACACGAGCAGCAAGTTGTTCTGTGAAGTAGGTCTCCTTGACCGTTTACCATGTCTGTTCTTTCAAAGACAGTCTTTTTCACTGTCTGCCTAAGTTGGAGGAAAGTTCTGCAAACCCAGGAGAAGAGTTGAGAAGAAAGGAGTCCTCAGCGCAAGTGTGGCTCTCTGGCAAAGTCTCCTCCTGGTGTCTTTTAGAAGAGAAACCCGGAGTGCGCCAGCTCCTGCAGGCCTCCATGGCAGAGCAGTTTAGACATTATCCAGGACAGACGCTGTCTTCTGTGTCTGCAGATACTAAGGCCACAAGTGCTGCTGGATTCAGCACTCTCAGACTAAAATTTGACCTTGCGTTCAATCGAGCTGTCTTTCTCTGGCCATGCGCTTAGCCTAGATTCTCAAACTCGACCCAGTCCTAAGCTGTTGTCCTTGGAATAATGGGCCATTCAGAGCAGTTCCCGGAACTTATTTTCTTCTCCCAAACCACTAATGGCTATCCTGCTCTGTTCAAAACACACACACACACACACACACACACACACACACACACACACACACA